ATGGGGAAAGGGGGGTAAGGAAAGAAACTAAGGGAGGCACAGAGAGGAAAAGCCAGAGATACTGAAGTGGCGATAGGAAAAGGAGAGATCATCTACTTCTCTTCCACTACCGTTAGATTGTACGTCTCCTATTCCATTTCGTCCGCGATGACTCGTATTGTTTTTTTTTTTCCAAAACCTACGAAGCCACCGCCTGCCAACTTAAAGAGGAGCCGGAGCGCTTCAATCTGTCCTTCAAGGATTTAGGAGACATCTCTACTGTTTGTTTGTTTCTTTCTTTTTAATGAGATGTAAAAGAAAGCACACGCCCTCACTTTATGATTATTAAGAAATTATTTTGAGAAAAATTCACATGTAAGCAAAGCGTATATTTTATCTATTAAATTATTTGCTTGGATAAAGCTAGTGAAAATGCGAGGACAGTTTTCAAGTTGTGGGGGAAAAGTCAGTGGCATCGCTTGAGAATAATGGGGTGCTCTGTGTTCAATTCCTTATTTCCTAATAGATTGTGGAAGGAAAGAAATGCTTGCCCTGATGTGGATCGCCCAGAATAACTTCACTTTTGCCCCAAGAGGAGGTCAGCATGCTTCTTGTGCTTAGAAAATGTGGAGACTTCAGGCACCTTTTAAGATTTAGAAAGTAAAAAAGAAGAAAACGCCGATTTTTCTTACCTAAAACTCTGTAATTAATTCACCTGCCTTGCACAGTTATCAACTGTCTTTACATCCTTTCAGACCCAAGGTCAGTTGCTAATGTTATGTGGATACTTATTATATTCCTATTTGGGAAGGTCCTATTCAGTTTGTCAGTGCAAATGTGTTTTCTAAATAAGGAAAAGAACAGAAACAAAGCTTACTGCCTGACTTGTGAGACAGAAAGGGTAGCTATCTTAAAAACATTAGGCTGAATTTAGACTGACTCTTCTTCCTTGCTGTCCCCTCTCCTTTTCTTCCTTTTCTAACTTGTTGCATGAAGGTATTTATTCAGGGGCTTCTGACCAGCATACGATTTGAGTGTAGGTCAGTCTTCTCTGTGTATATCTCTAGGAACCTTAAATAATTGGGCTCTAAACCTGTCTACACACGTTCACTAACTTCACAAGATAAAAACAATGCTATAGCTTTGGACAGATTTGAAACAAACTATTAGCACCAGTTTCATAGTATTGAGAAATTTTATAATGAAGTTTCTGCCATTTTGGCATTGAAATGATCACATTTCTCTTTATAATTTCAATTCTTTAAGCTTTTTGAAGTTTAGTGTTAAAAGGTGGGAATAGCTAGAGAAATATTACACTGTTAACTGATTTGTCTAAGTTTATGCTAAACTTTTTGGGGTGTAGCAATTATATCAGGAGGCTTTCCTGGGTCATAAGAATTCAGAAAATTGATTGTTGCCAAAAAGTAGATACAATTCTACAAATATAGCTAAAGTGTACACAGTTTTTTGGCCTAGTTATCTTAGTAAATTATTAGTCAATATATAGTTACTTGGCCAATGTCTTTTAACATATTCAGAATCACTTATCTTAATTTTCTGTGTTTCACATCTGTTCTTATTTAAAAATAAAGATTTGATATACAGCACATACATCAAAACACCTCATTAGGTGTCTACGCATGTTTTAGAAAATATTACCTTTAAAATATGCCAAATTACTATGTTAATGGATGAAGGAGAGAAAGAAGATATTAAGCCCCCCCAAAACTAATTTTATTTTGGAATCGCATGCACAACTGTAATAAACTTTGGCATAGTCTTAAAAACGCTAAACCACAGTTTCTTCATTTTAGATTCTAGATCTGCAAACGGAAAATAAATGGTAATTAAGTGCCCCGCATCTGCCCTTACCATTCTCATTTCTCACGTTTCCTTAAACCGTCACTCACCCAATAGCTTCCACATTCAGCAGCCACAGATGGGAAGTAATGATAGCTGACCGAACCATAATCCCACTCTGCTGGGAAGCAAACTCCACATTTTCTGCAGGGAAACCTGTGCCTCGCAGCACGTGCTCTATTCAGAAGCAGGGCTTTGGGCATTTGCCCCCACCTGAATGGGGGGCTTCCTCCTTTCCCCCCCCTACCTCTGCTCTCTAAACTGTTTCTAGGAACTATCACTCACTCCTCAGATCAAACAATAGGATCAGAAAAAGCCTATAATGCAAATTAAAATATATAGGAAAGAAAAGCCTTGACATTTTTTCAGATTTTTTTTTTTTTTAGAAATGTTATCAATGATTAAGGCAAACAGTATTTAACAACAGATAAGTCAGCTCCACGGAAATTTCAAACTCTCCCTCTTTCCATTGCATTTTTAGCTTTCAAAGCTTCTGTCTTGTTTATTTATTGTTTTACGTCTTTGGTTGTTTCAGGTCCTCTTCCTTCTTCTCCTCTCTTCCAACCTGCACTCAATTTGCATAAGCAAAATTCAAAGTACTGTAACTGATATTAGAAAATTCTCCCTGTGTTTTGTGAAGACGTATTGTGCTGAAATCAATAAGACTGTTTAAAATTCAAAGACCTGCAAATCGTTCTGTTTGTCCTTTGATAGGGCCTCTGCTGATTAAAATGCTACCAAGAAAGCTTAATTGCTGCACTAATTAAGAAGTCTTTAATTTCTTTCCTAGGATATCCTTTGAAGCTGAGCTTGTACCAGTTCAGGGAAGGTATTTTCTTCCCTCCCTCTGCCCCCTTCTGGCCCCTCCTCTCCTCTTTCTCCTTCCTCCTCCCCTGCCCCCCACAAGATCCCTATGAATGGGAACTAATAGAGTGGTCTCAGGTCTCACCATCTATTAACAAAAATCGGCCCGGGATGCAGAGTTCAGTGCAGTACAAAATGCAGTTTTGAGAAAAGCTGTAAGGTTGCAGGAGACAGTAAGAAAATACAGAGTAGCTGTTGCCGCTAAAGTCCCCGTGAATACCTGGGATGACAAGAGGCACTTGAGTCGGAAGATGAGGGCATCCTATTTGGTTAAAAGGGGCAGAGACAAGGAAATGCTTCTATTGAAACAGGGAAACATAAACATATACTTTCAAAACCTGTGGTTTTAAAAAAAGAAGAATAAATATGTAGAAAGGTGGACTTGTAGTTGGGATTTGGTAAGTATCATTTTATTTTATGAGTATAAAATCATGAATTCCATGGGGATTTATTTTTGACCTTTTTATAACTCAAGGGGGCATGGCATTGTATTACATCCATTTCATCCTTATATATTGACCTATTTTATTTAATGATTTCTCAAGTAGGGAAACTGACTAAATGATTTCACAAAGCTTTCTCTGTAATCAATAGTCATTTTTTAGGTTTATTCATGCTGCATTATAATTCTGGTAAATGACTGCAAAGCAGAAGATTGTCAGAAAGATACAAATATTGACAAAGCCAGGATAATTCATGTCTTTAAACCTTCAGAATTTCAATATAGCAACTGATATAGTTATTTGAAAGAAAAAGATTGAAAAATGCATATTTCCTAGAATCTAACCTAAATGATTAACTGGCAATACATATTTGAATGTGTTTCTTGCATATCTCAAAATTTCCTGAAAGCTTTGAGTATCCTCTTTTTTTATAGCATCACTAAATGATACAAAAACAATTTGAGCATATGCAGATAGGGCAACAAGAAAAGGGTCATTACAATTTTATCCTTTTAATTTTTTGCCAAGTTCAATTAGAAGCATGCACAGAAAAATACAGATGTATACTTCAGATATCTACTGAATCCCTTTTAGTGACAGGACAAGGAGATAACATGCTTAATAGATTCAAAGGCAGACTTACCATTCTGAGCACGACGTCACTCTAATTATGTTTACTCTAATTGAAAGCAAGGTTTTTTGGAATCTGAAATTACTTTCAGAATTTTTTTTTAAATAATGCAAGTGGATCAAATGTTGATCACAAGCATTTCCATCTTTCAAAATGTATTGGAAAATTAAATGAAAAGTGGAGTTTCGTACGAACAATGCCCCAGGGCAAAAAACAACTAACACTAGATTTTCCAGTCCAGCCATAACACAAATCAATTTGAGCACACTTCTATGGCCAGACTGCCAGATTGTTATGACTGCTAATTCACTCAATCAAAGAGTGCATTAGCACACCCGGCACAAATAGCTTTAACAATAGAGTGCACTTCTGAACAATTCTAAGATACATCACAACGGAGAAAGAAGTAAAGAGGAAGGTTATTCTAACATCTGCATATTTACTGATGGACCTATGTCCTTAATAGAAGAAGAAGAAGAAGAAAAAAGATTGAGATAAACTTCAGGCAGAGGTTTATTAAAGAGCTATCTAAGTTTGGCAAATCTAGAAAGATATCAGGGTACCAGTAGTTCACTGACTTTGTTAAACGTTTCTCAGGAGAGAGTCCAAAATTGATGTTTGCACTTCAGTAGTAAATCATTGAAGACGGAGAAATTATGCCAAGTAACTCTCTCAAGCCTTTTTAACTCAGACACACGGCCTCACCAATCAGCTCAGCCCAGGCTGCCTTAAGTAAAGACTTCTCTACTTTTGCTCTTTTCCACTCTGCCTCTCCACTTAGGGTTCCAACTTCTGTCTCTCAGTGAGTCTCACTTCCACAGTCTCCCTCTTTTTTCCAATTGCCTGCCTCTTTTCCAGAACAAGGAGTATGACTTTTATCTCACTGCTACATTCTCTAATCAGGCGCAGAGAGAATTGATAAATTCTCTCTGCGCCTGATAAATTACCCAAAGGACAGAAGGTGGGGAGCTCAAGGTGAACACACTCTAACCTGCAGTACTCAAACTTTATGTTACAGAATATCCCATTCTTAATAAAGAAGTGGTGAAAATGGTTACAAATAACATGGACTTGTTTTGCAGTTTGGGAATGCATGGACTATCTATATGTATGCTGAATGCCTTTAGCAATGATCTAAAGCAGTGGTTCTCAACCTTCTGGCCCTTTAAATACAGTTCCTCATGTTGTGACCCAACCATAAAATTATTTTCTTTGCTACTTAGGGGTCGAGACCCACAGGTTGAGAACCGCTTATCTAACGCAAAATGGCTTGTGTTTGGCACCACTGTTGCTCCCTCCCTAACCTTCTTTTCTCACCCACTTTTCTCCTGGTTCAGAATGAAGGCGACATGTGGCTGATTATGAAGCACATTTTAAGAAATCTCTCTACCCAGAGGGTAGAGAAAAAAGAGTTACAAAGAAAAAAAGAATCATCATGGAATTGTTTTTCTGCCTCCAAACTGCATTATTTCCATGAGAAGAGGTGAACTCCTTATGATAATTTAGTTATACTTGCCCATCAGTACTTACTTCCTGTGTAAGTGTCCTAATTCCATCTGTGGGTTGGTATTGTGTTGCACAGCCAAATATTCGATAACAAAACAAACACAGTGAGATCATTTTAGACTTGGATTGTAGAAGGAAGCAGCAACTAGAATAATATAAATTGAGATTAATTCCCTCCATCTCTTAAATCAGGCCATTGTGAGAGGAATGACATACTGGGTTGAAGTAAGGTTAAAAAGTCAGCCAGGTATTTAAATCCCTAGTTTTTAATAAATATTCTATCTTTAATTGCATCTTTGCATTCGTAGCATTTCCTCATTCTCTTACTCCTCTCTCTTTTAATAACATAAAACTCATTTTATTCTAAAGAAGGTCAGTATTAAGACATGGACTGCCTAACAGATACACAGTTGGGAATGGGGGTGGGAAGAAGTCTTGTGTAGTGTGAATGCATGTTTAATATTAAAACAAAGTATTGTATAATTTGTAATGTTAGAAGAAATGTACTAAACCTGACTATAAAAGTTTCTATTGATTCACTGTCTGCTTTTTGTTGTTGTTGTTTTAACTTATCTTGGCCCTTTCTCTTTGCTTTATTAAATAAAAGAAGAGGTCATTGTGTAATAAATAGCCTATAAAATTGTTCTATTTGAAGTCAGATAGTTCAGGATTGTTAAAAGAGAATACTGTTTATTTGTTTATTACCCTTCAGAACAAAAAGATTTTTTAAAAAGTTGAAAGAAGAACAATTGCCACCTTCCAGCCTGAGATCTTGTATGTCAAGTTTCAGCCCAGAGCAAATTTTTACAACAAGTTATAAACCCCCTGTAACAGAGGGTTTATTATAATGGAAGTGCTGACACAACCTTAACTATAGCGTTGTAAACGGCTATGCTATAATATCCATTAAGCAGAAAGAAAAATAAGCTGGCTGATCAATAATTTATACAAAGAGTACCAACTGCAGACATAATAACTGTAATGTTTGCAAAGCAATCTCTCTGCTCTCCAGGCTTAACAGTAAACGCAAACTAGCAACGCTGTTAATTTCCAACTCCTACAGATAAGAATACAAACAAATTACTTAAAATTATATTTTGCTCAACATTTAGCATGCCTCGATGGGATAAAATAAAATTTAATTATGATGCAACTTGTGCGGGATGCAAAGCTGTTTTGTTTTCCAGCACATTTTATTATGAAAGGACATTCATTTGGAACATCAATTATGGGGAAATAGTATGTTTCAAAGAGTTGACTTGGGTCAGGCAGGCTCTTCTAAGAGTTATTCAGACATGGAAACAGATTGACACTGTTTAACTTCAAAGAAAGTTACAGGGTTTTACAGAGCCACAACCTGAAATACAATACTGCAAGCTCTGATCCGAGTCAACTGTCAGGAAAAATATACCTTGTCTTTAGAGTTCATGGGAAAAAAAGACAATGGCTTGGAAAATGTGACCATCATTAGCATCCGGTGATTCTTGGAGTGTTCAATTAATAGTAAGCCTCATTTGCATGGGAGCAAGATGTGTCATTTCTACCTAACAAATGTGGATCATAAAATGTAAGCATTGTTTTCTGGAAAATTTTGAAAAGACACTTTAGTAGACTTCCATATTTATTACTGCTTTGCTTTTTATAGTGTCCACATATGTAGAGTGTGACATTTTTATTTTTTGCTGATGGCTTTTAAACAGGAAAAGAAGGTTTGAGATGAGAATTGAAGGATCCCAAATTGCACACTGTGTATATATTCAAGGTTAAACCAGAATGTACATTTCTGAGGTTCACCTCTCCATCATTTTTTGTCTGTTCATCTCTTGGGGGTGGGGGTGGGAGTGGGGGAGGAGCTGACAGAAGGAAGAGACTTTGCTATCAGAGTTGTAAAATGGTGTATTACTCTGTGAGCAATTGCACTTGGAAAGGAACCAGTAATTTATATGAGAAGTGTTTAAGATCGCCTGTTCACCCAGTGATCCATGCCAGGTCAGTTCCAGTAATGCCAGAAAACAAAAGGAGGTGCACATCACTGGGAAAAAGACACCTTATCCGCCTTAAGAGCTTGTGAAGGGAAGCACTAAAATGCCATTTTCTCAAATGAACTGGTCATTACCATTTAAAATCCTGAGGGGCTGTGGGACTAGGGAGGAGAGAAAGAATTTTTCTTTTGATTTCACAGGCTCTGAAGTGTTAGTTTTAAGGGGGAGGTGTTTTGTTGTGATTGTCTCAGCTTTATGTTTTAGCAAAGGTTGAATCTTGTAACCAAAGTGCCTTCTTTAAACAATACAATGGGAAAGGATGCACACAACAGCTTTGAGGATATACTTGGCCCATTTTAAACTTAGAAATTAACTTTAACTTTTAAAAGTGACCGGTACTGATAGCGATGCAACCCTCTACTAATAATGTCTGTGCCAGGTTGTAATTTGTTAATTTTTTACTTGAATAGATTTTCCCATTCAACCCCTCACTCCACCAGTTTTCAGGAGGAGACCGTGGGATACTGACAGGGCATTATGTAAGGAACTGCTACCTATGAATTCTTCACAGGCCTTTACTCTTGTTTAACATAAAGTATAGACTCTGAGTATAATGGCATTGGAAGGGGAGGAAGGAAGAAGATTGCACTCTTGCCAGCCTCAGGCACATGCTTTCCTCATATGTCCTAAAGTTATTTTAGTTTTTGAACAAGAGTTCGGTTCATTCAGAAGTCCAGCCTATCCATACTTGTGTAGTTAGGGAAGGCTCTAAAGAAAATGACTCTTTCCTGTATAAGTCAGTATTTATAATTGAATGATTGGCTCAAGATTCAGCACATCCAGGAATCTCCGCTGATTAATCCTTGTGTGTCCTAATAACTGTCACCATGCATTCCAATGGGCAAGGCAATTATCTTATGCTTTCACACTTGTTGATATGTTTCTCTTCAGGTGGTCTCAAGTCATTTCTCTGCCTTTCAAACAGCTACTATACTGCTTTGCGCTTGCTGGGTGCTCAATAAATGTCAACTGGATAATTAAAACTGCCTCTATATTATGCCACCCATTTCCTTTGTTCCCAAATCGTGTAAAGTGCTCATTCTCAAACCACATATGACTTGATTCAGGCCAGGATATTGAAGAGTAACAAAATTTTAGATATGCTCATTTCTGCTTTAATATCCAGCTAATTTAGGAGAATTCTTGAGGCAAAAATTTCACAGATGCTAATAAGCTGGGTTTCAAATTGCTGGAAAAGAGAATGTTAGATCTATTGCAAAGGCTTGTATCTGGGACCTACACAGAGAAAATGTTTCCATTGGGGAGCACTGGGGCATCTTCACCAAGACTGAAAATACACATGAGACTCTGAAGTGCCGTCCCAGCGGATGAGGAAATGCAGGATTGTGTGTGCAACAATTTGTACGGCGGCTACATTCATACTACCATCACTTCCATGTAACTCACATTCTCCCTTCTACAAAACACACTTATTTTTTGTGTACTGATTGTATACTGGTTGCTAATGATGTAAAGAAGAAAAAGATATCCATCCTGAACGGACCTTCATACACATGATCTCAATGGCATCTTATTGCCATAACATGATTGAAATTTGATGGTCCTAGAAGACCATCTCTTCCTGGGATTGCAGTTCTCCTCCTCCCACTTCTCCATCCAATGGCCAGGCCTGACACCACCAGTGGTTCTCAGATCTTTTCGTTAAAGCTAAGAGGCAAGCTCAGAAACATTCCCAGCATGGAACTGTCGGGTCAGCCTATTTGATTCACCCCTGATCTTGGCAAAGAGGAAACTGACAATTAGCAAAATATGAGCGCTTCCTTTTATACTCACAAGGAGTTGAGGCTTAAGCCAGGTAGACTAAAGTCCTCACTGATTCCCCTTACCCCCAACCACAACTCTCCATGAAGGAGACCTTTTTGAAGTAAGCAGAGGAAAATATTTCCTTTTTTTTCATTTCTCATATAAGGGGACTGAACAAATAATAAACTGGCAGAGTTGAATCTGGACTCACAGTTTTCTGCCTGTTTCTCCCACTATATGATAGTGCAGTGGATATCATGTAGTATGATATCATTGTATGACATACACGTATATTGAATGTCTGTAAGTTCTAATAGAGCTACTGATGTTCTCAGTGGCTACTTAGGTGTATGCACACATGTGCTACAATGCAGCATGATGAGGGTGGGGAATCCTGAAAAAGAGTTGGGGAAATATTGTGATTTCAGGATAAGATTTTGAAACCTTTAGAATTTCTTAACTGATACGTGATGTTAGAAAGTTAAACTGCAAAAACCCCTGGAGTTCCTTGACTTTTGTGACTAACCCTGTTTTCTTTGGTTAAAAAGGGCAGCATCTACCAATTAAAGCCACCTGTTGAAGTGCTTTGCAAAATCAGGAATTAAACCCGCAGTTGACTGTGTCAACACATTCCTTTTCTGTAGTCTCTTCCCAGCCACAGTTTACTTTTCCATAGGGGACTATCCAACCTCTTTCTCCTACTGTTTTCATCCTGATTTCAAGAAAGGTCACTCCACGCCAACTTTTTTCCCCCCAAGAGTTGATTCAGGGTCACTCACAGCTATTCCCAGCAGAGCAATAGCATGCCCTCCTGCTGCCCCATTTAAATTGTCTGAACTGCATGGCTTTTTCATTTACTCTCTCTTTAGAGTGAAGCTGCAAAGTAGAGAAGACTTGAATGGTCTTGTATCTTCAAAGAAGTGCCTTGAGCTCTGGAATGTAACAAAGTGGGAGAAACCACTGAACTCCAGGAAATGTCAACAATGAGGTGGGAAGGCCTGGGCAAGTGGATAGGGGCCGTACTCTAGGCGTTTCTAGGACAAGGCAACCAGCTCAGCTGAGCAAGAAAATGGGTCTTTTTCCCACAGAAACTAATGGAACTGATCTTGAAGCACAATGATAATAGCACCTGCACAAATTTAAGTACAAGTTGTCCAGGAGTTTCTTTGTTATATTTTTTTGTAAATGATTTGTTTGACAAACTGATGATGATTACTACTAAAGAATTACAATTTTCAATAGTCTGAACATTTTGGTCCTAATAGGAACTTAAATAAATAAAACATTATTTAAAAAGACATGAGCAAAGTAATTTTAATAGCTAAAATGCATTTACATTTAGTTGTACTCTATGTCAAATTGAACTTAGAGAAAAACAAAAATGTTCCCAAATGCTACATGTTAATAGTAGCAATTCAAGGTTTAATTACTTCTAAGCACAGAATATGAAAATACAGAATTAATATTGTATAATTGATAAGCTATTGAAAATATAAACATTAGAGAGCACATTCAGCAACTAAACAAACAATATTTTATATCGCAAATGTAGAGATAAACTCATGACTTCAATATTGTTTTTAACCTTAATATTCAGGAATAATTAGCATCGATTTCTTGATAAGTTTTCTTAGCCAAAATATTTTAGTAAATTTAACTACTACTTGCTGAATACCCAAAAGAAGCCTCCAAATTAGGAATAGCCAAATGTAAATATGCAAAATGATGTGTATACATAGTTAAGATCATTAACTATTATATAACAGATATTCAAAGTAATGCTGTGTTAAAAGTCTAGATGTGTATAGCACTTAACACTGAATAATTTTAAAAGAATATTTTCTATGAAAATGTATTTACATTTTTACAGTTAGTATCTTATTTTAATAATATAATCACTAAAATATATTTTTTTAGTTTCATTACACAGAAACAGTTTCAAGGAATTACTTTGCACACATACACTCACACATGCCTATTTTCAGAATTTTCTAAATAGCAATTACTTTCTTTAGATTTATAGTGTATAACTCCTGGTATCTTTGGTATCCAAAAAAACCAGCAAAAAACTATTTACTTTTTGTTTGCATTAAAGTAAGTTTAGTCTAAAAGCACTTACTAATCATAACAACACAGCAGAGGATTGTTTTGTAAACATTTTACTTTATTATCAGCCTTTGTTTTCCAATACAATGCTTTAAAAATACCCTCTGTTGTATAAAAGACATTGTTGCAAAAAGGCAGCTCAAAACTTGTCCTTCCCTTCCTTTCATTGATCTGTTGCCTCTTAGGTAATATGAACAGCTGTCTCCAGCTCACCCACAAGCAAGCTGAACATAATAATAAGGTAGTGTTACTGGCCTGTATCTATGAATAATTATAAAGAGGGTGCCAGTTCTTTTCCATTACAGATAAGGTAACAAAGATACCACAGAGAAGAAAACTGGTTAGCAAAAACAAGCGAGTGCTTCTGACTTGAAGAATTAGTTATTTCTCTGGTAAC